CAAATACTAATGCATGAAAATCCTAACCTCAAAAAAATCACCCGTTACAAAAAAATGGTCCCAATTTTTTTTTTATTTTTTTTGTACCAATAGCCCAATATAAAAATGTACAAATGTACACTGCCTTCAAAAATTTATGCAATAAATTAGTATGCAGTTTTGTAGCGCATTGAAGCTCGATATTTGTACGAAAGTTCGTTGAATGATTTCTTTTTTAATATTTTGGGTGGTCAGAAAGAACACATACAACAAGATAAACTTTGAAGAAAATTGAGATTCGTACCGCGATTGCTTTTCTAATTAATCTAAGAAAAGCGTCACTGGACTTTGTGGAAAAGTTGTTGTCAGCTTAGGCTGCCTCTTGTTTAAGTAAAGCTGCTTATACGATGACTTAAACAAGTGGTACACCGCCTTCAAAAAAGGCACAACTCAAAATTTGGCATTTTTTTAATTATTCGCTAAAAATTTACACAGAGCTTTTATTTAGCTTTCAGCAAAAGCTGCAACAAATTTTGGTTATAATTTGTTAAAAGAACCAAAGGTAAAGTCTCCCTTGCCCATATGATTGTCATGTGCTAAAAACTAGTTTTTCGCATTTTATAATAAACATGTAATTTTGAGTTGTGCCCCTTTTGAAGACGGTGTGCGAAGTGTTGATTTTCTTTCAATATTCACAATGTTTTCAAGTTACATTTTTTTTTTTTAGGTCTCGAACATTTTCAAAAAATTTGGAAAACTCCACAAATTTTCAACAAAATTTCGAGCTTTTTAATATGAGCTTTTCGAACATTTTCGCGTATTCAGTTTTATAGCCCATACGATTTTAGTTCTCAACCGGCGTGGATTTTTTATAATTTTATTTTTATGTTTTTTTGGTGAGGTGAAAATTGTTAAAAATCAGCGCGATTTTTATTCGCTTAAACTTGCACTTCACTGGGCTAAAATTTTATGGGCTATAAAACTGCATACCCAAAAATGTTCTAAATATTCAGATTAGAAAGCTGGAAATATGGATGGAGATTTGTTGAACTTTCCTAAATTTTTGTATTAAGTTTGAAACTTTGATTTATATGGTTTTGGTTAAAGCTTGGACACTTTATTTATACAAAAATAACAAAAAACTTAACATGAAAAACGTTGTGAATATTAAAAAAAAAAACAAAAAAGCAACACGTGAACACTTGTTTGAGTCACTGTATTTCATAAAAATAATGGTCTACTCAAGCCAGATAGAGAATCAATTGGAGACAATCTGCGCTCAAGAACAGCAGTCCAGGCGACACAGTGGGAAATATTTGAAAAATTCTAGCCGCGGCGCTGAGTGTAATTTTTTTTTTTTTCTTCAAATATCTTGCATTTCATGTTACTGGCGAGAGAATTAAATATGTTTATCATAAATTTATTAAGTCGAGTGAGAACTCATTAACCTCACTTCAAAAAAAAATATCCACTATTCAAAGAAAAAAAAACGAAGCCAGCTACTTAAATAGTTTGATTATTTCACCAATTGCGGTTATGAAATTTTTACTTTTCTTATCTTTGAATAAAGAGAAATTTTTTTGGAGGCGAGGCTGATGAATTACCACTCGTCCAACTAAACTTCTGATAAAACTATTAAATTATCTCATCAGGAATATGAAATTAAAGATATTTAAAGAAAAATTAGAAAAAAGTACATTCATACGGTTACTCTAGCGCCGCGGCTAGATATGCTTACATCTAAATTCGTTACAGTTACCATGATGACATGATTTTTTTTTTTTAAGTAAAAATATCAGCTTTGGAGGTCGTCTACGCCAT